CAGCACAGGAACTTGCTGGATATATATCGTCATCGATTCATACAACACGAAACTTCATCCATTATTACAAGTCTTCGGGAGGTTACTCACTAGTCTCTGCTGATTCATATCTTCGACCAAACACATGCTTTCAAGTTTGATTTTTTTTTCTGTTTTGAAATTTGAATATAATAGGTCAATATTTTTGTGAGTATTTATGCTTAACTTACAATCGGAAGTAAGCACTCGTTGGTTTCGATTTTTCATCTTATATTTTGCCATGTTGGCACAGTTTTCGACACTGGTTTGTTTTATCGTACACTTAACTAAGGTTTTGCTTGAACTGTTACGAAAGCTACCAAATGTTATATTCTTTGGCCAGTTTACTGTCAACTGCGACAAAAAGCTTAAAACAACAAACAAGAAAAGTAAAACAAGCAATTAAAAATGAAGCAAAACGAACAAACAGTAACATCAAAGATAAGATGAGTAGCTCATTTTTTATGGCTATAGAATCGGAAGAAGTTCAAGTATGACACTGTTTTGTTGCGATTACTTAAATGTGTTTTATTTTTTCATCAGACCAATTTTTAGTCTACTCAAAAGATACCGATCAATGTGCAGTATGCGTGCGAAAATATCGATCTGCCTCACTATCCATATATGCCAGAACTCTGGGGACAGTACCGTCCGCATTATTCACAGCTATCTGATGTAAGTTTCATTGAGAGAAGTATTTTGTGAAGTGCGCATTAAAAGAGACAAATAGGATAGGGAAAGAAGTATAGACGAATAGGATAGGAATAAAAAATATATGTATTTTCCCATTTTTTTTTTTTGTAATAAAAATATTTTTTCGCAAATCCTGCCACTGTTTCAAACAGTTGTCGACGAACTGAGACAGGAAAAAACTAGACCCAGGAATCAGTAAGGTAGTTTATCTCATTCATTCTTTGCTATTATTATTTACGTAGCATCAGTCGGCTGATGGTATTCAGTATACTGATCGTTTCTGTCATCATTTAGTAATGACTAACATATTTTGGTGTATCCATTTCGTATTTCATTATGTGCTGTAACATACATATCTATAATTTTTTTTTTTAATCGTTAATTTTCATAGTGGGACCAGCCTTGTCTCATGTTTCCCCGCGGTATGGTGCATTACATCAAATAAATAATTATTTCTACAGTATAAGTTCTTATATCATGTCTAATGGCATCTTCTTTGACTAGTAGATAGTCATTAAAGGATTGGAACAGAAGGTGTGGGACCCATATAAATTGCAGTAGTTAAAATTGTCAAACTACAGTAGTTTCAGGTATTACTAATACTAAAAGGTATTATTATAAAACTGTTGAATAGTTTTTGTTTTTTGTTTGTAACAGAGAATCTCTTATTAATATATGGATGCATTAATTAGCATACTGTTGGATTCATCTTTGTTGTTCTTAATCGGATGCTGATTATTAACATCTTTCTGTTATTTACAATCGATGGTGAAGACAGTTTGAAATCAGTTCACAAACATAAATGGGTTTGCACTACAGGCTTAACACTACTTGTTAAAACTTTCTTTATATTCATTTCTTTGTCATAGCACTTTGTCGATCCAAAACAATCACCCGCAGCACGCAGTGATCCACTGAACCGTCTTTCATCGCTTCCTCGCTGGCAAAATCAGTCAAATATGTTTCGTCAGGTAATGCTAAGTCAGGTAATCATGACATTTCGATATTTCAATTTTACATGTAATCCTGAAATTATCGAGTAAGACATGCTGAAGATCGATCCTTGTGTAATTGGTCGGGCTTTTATGTTTAATACTTGAGGTGCTGGTGTATGCATCGTTTATGTTACCTAGTTCTCATACTGCTTAAAAAATTGAAGATGCAGGAATTATCTGCTATGAAAATGATAAAAAGATATTTTGTTCGCAGCTATCATTTTACCGATGAACTGAGTGTTTTCCAGGTCGCGTGTTATTTGGACCGTTCAACCGAAGTATCCGATCATTTATTGAGCAGTTTCCCAACTGCAGTCGAAGAACTGTTTGAAATTGTAGCAGCATGCGAAAGTGCACTTCCGGATATAAATTTAATTTCTTTGGATGAGTAAGTTTCTTGTTGAATTATGCTCATTTATTCACTCTCGAAACTAGGTTGATTTCGGTAAGATTTCGATTAATATTACTTGAAAAAATTACCTGACGAATTAATGTAATCAATGCATATTTTCGTAGTTAAAAGAGAAACATTTTAAAAGATTGGTTTAACTTGGTATTTGCCATTTGAACAATTCTAAAGTCATTGTATAGCGGAAAATTTGTAATAATTTAAAATTATTTTAGTTGGAATCATGTAACTTTGGGAGACCATGCGCTGTCCATGTTATTGCAAATTTCACAACGAGTATCGCGTGAGACAAAGCGTTTATTCGAAATAGCTGTACAAGTAATAAAACGTTGTGCCAATTCATCTAGTTACTCACTTTCAAAGCCGCTTGCGTTTGCATTTGTACAAATGCTAGGCCTCAAGCATAACCAGATTTACTTTGCTAAACTTGGTCAGTTTATTTTTTATCCGTTTGTTTCTTATGTCTTATCAATTACGAAACTTTGATTTCCTCTTTCAAACTGATTAATGTTTGCCTATATTTATCAAAGAGCATGTAGTTTTACCTTAATTTAGTATGTTTCTCTACTTTTCCCAACACTTCGTGAGCTCGTTTTCTTCCATTTTCCTATGAGCTTGTTTTGTACAGCTTGGTAAGAAGCGATATGATTTAATAAAGTTTATCTTGTTAAGTTATTTCTTACCGTAGTTTTTTCTCTGTAATCAAATAGAGTGAATTTGTCCTGGCAGTACATTCATTTTAATTGTAGAAAATTTTTTTTCTACTAAAGATTAGACCACTCTCCAAAATATTAACCACTAAGAAAGAGTGAGACTTTTACAAATCAGTCAAACTTGAAGTTTTGAAACAAACTTTCCAGCAACGTTGCCAGTATTATAAATACTCATGTTTTCGTTTCATATACAGAGCGGCTATATAGCTGTTTGAGATGCTTCAGGAGGACATCTAATTGTGGCACGTGAATTGGAACGTTCTATATTGGCTTCAGCAAATGAATGGGCGGCTCCAATTTCTGCACCTCTTATGCGACAACTCGCTTCACTGTCTGCCCAGGTGGCTGGTAGCAGTGATTACGGGTGTCAAGTATCGAACTTACAGACCGATATACGAGATGATGGATTATACAATTATGCACCATTCTGTGAGTTTCTTGAGCTTACTAGACTCGTCTGAAAAGGATGAAAAGGAGAAAGGTGAAGCTGTAGAAACTTCCTTGATATAGATTAATCTAAGGATTCATTTCATCAGTTTTCCGGTTTCTGAAATAAATTTATTAAATGTTATTTTTTTAGCCAACTGTTACCTTCCTAACATCATTTCAAAATTCTTTTCATTAGATGGGATTCGAACCGAACAAAACTTTCCTTGAAATTATGAATTTGGTTTAAACTCATTTTTTGATTTCTAGGTACGATAAGTTCGGAGCAGGCGCCAAATGTTTGTGGACAGTTATTATCCTTGATTGCAGTTGCTGCACCGCGTCGTACTCGATCCGCTAATTGGAGCTATCATTTTAATGAGGGTGGCGGAGATTGGTTCGATATTACCCTCAATCTTCCATACCACATAGTTCTGCACGAAGTACAGATCCGACCCCATCTTCCTGCCTTAAGCAGTGAGTTTAACATTTGCTTTTTTTACGCGAATTTTATAAAAATTTCAATTTCCTGTTTCCAGTTTTTACTCCCTTCGTTTGAATTATTTTCTAAACTTTTCTTGTAATGTTTTGGCTCAGGCATTCTTCTAGTGCTTTCTGAGTTTATGAATACTTTTTTCAGCAGCTCCAGCAGCCGTTCAAGTTGAACTATGTTCGGAGACATCCCTTACTCAATGGTGCAATCTTGGCGCACCACTTAGCACTACTGGATTCAGCAAGATTCGCATTTCAACATACTCATACAAACTTCCTGTCATTGCTGTATGCTTAAAAATGTTTTTTTAGTTGTTTCAGTCTTTTTAACCTTGTTTTTTAAGGAATCGAATTTTATTTCCTCTTCCATAATTTTCAAAATGTCCTTTCAGGTGCGTCTTTATTTCAAGAAACCACCAGATTCTACAAACTTATCCCTGTCGCAAATACTGCTTTTGGGAATGAACTTCACTAATTCGTTATCATATACATGTCCAAAAAATACTGATTTGTAAGCTTTATTTTGAATTTAAGCATCAACACCAAATGATTTCTGTAAAATAATTAGCTTAACGGCAAAATCTGTAGTTCGTTATTCTTTTTCATTTTACAGGCAAAACTCTGCAAAACTTTTAGAGACAAAAATCTAATGCTTTATTGTTTATTTACTGTTTCCTATCGTACATGTTTGCTAAATTGAAATCATTAGTGCCTTCTGTTCACTTATCCAAAATAACTGTGTAGTGTTAGGACCAACTTGGCTGAATGTCAAATTCAGAGGAGAACCAAAACTCTTCCAGTTCATTGTTTTACCCATCAAACTGTCGTGTGGTAAAGTCCTCCCATCTTCATCGGTCAATGTTGAATAGTTTGCTCAAAGTTTGTGAAACTATCATACTTGGCACTGTTCAATTGTTGTTGCACCATATGACAAAAAGTAGAGTATCATAGGATATTTGCTAGTTGACCGAAGAAAAACCCAAATAACTATTTAATGCTCCTGATCTGAATATTTTGCAATCGAGAACTAAAATTGCAGTGTACAGTGGCTCTTCATTATGGTACAACTGTGTCATCTTGAGAAATATTGCGTTTGGCAATATGCTCCGGAACTTCCACGTGCCGTCGTTGCGCTGTTTTTGGGTCGACCGCTATCCAGTCTAGTTTACCATCGCATTTCGGAACTCTTTTGTCAGATCGATCATGAACGTGCAAAGCCGTATTCGATTGTTGAATTGATTTTTCAATATATAGGTTTATTTCAATTAATAGTTTTTTAATCTTCAAAGCCCCCAATTCGTATTAAATTTATATATGCTTATAAAATTGATCAGCCTTACGATTCATTATTTTAAAAGTATTTTGAACACTTCTGGTTGCAGAGCAAGGCAATACTGTTACCAACGAATCGTTAGAATGGCTCCCGAATTTACTTTTTACTTTATGTGCACAAAAGGAGCATCAAATTTGTGTCATAAAGCAATGCCAAGTGCTTCTTGGTGTTACTACCATAATTACTTCACAGAATTATAAGAAGCCACTTCGGGTTTGTTTCACTTATCAAATTTTGATGTATTATCATTTAAAATTTATTTCTTTTACTACATCAGGTGTTCAAGAAATAATGAGTTTTTGTGATCAGATCACTGTAATGTGAACAGTATGAACCTAAAAAGCTCAATTTTGATCGTGCAGGTCGAGCCATAAAACATTGCATTCATAACATGAATAACAATCTTATTTTTAGAATGTACACAATTTTTCTAACACTGTGACAGAAAATGTAGCAGAGACTCAGATGCACTTAGCTTTGCTGTTTGATAGCAGAAATTAATGATTAAGACATCAAATTGACTAAACGGATTGTATTAAGTCCATAATTTCATACGAACATTTTCATCTCAAATCACTCTTACTGGATTTATTTTTTCTATTAAATACGGCACACACCTGCATTGGAATTCTAACTGCTTACTATCTGCTTTATCCACTGCATTATTCCACTGAGAATTTCTGTCAAATCCGCAAGGTACTTACCATGCTGAGATTGTACGGTCACAGTGTAAAAAGGCGAATTCCAATGCTTTCATTGCATTATTGACTATATAAACTGAAAGATACAGGCGAAGGAATAAACTGTTGAATATTCAAATAGTACTGCGGTAATGAAGTAATGTAGTGTGGTGACAGGGCATTAGATTGGGCAAATTAAATAGATGAACAGCAAAGGGTGATCCAGAATAGTGGGAATGATTGTACCCTTGGGTTCAAAGGCTGCAGGAAAAAAATGAAAGAAAATTTGTGTGTCAAAAATTACAATCCAATAAAGAATAAATACTGAAATGATGGGCTGAACTCATCCAATTAAATTAACCCTGTGTATAAATCTTACCGGTTAGTTTGAATCTCTTAGCGTGCTATAGTTCTCTCAATCCTTCTTTACTGTCTTACTCTATGACTGCTAATTTTTCACTTTCGAATAAGTTACTAAGCACGAAATAAGTACGAAATGCATCGTACATTTTGTTATTTTGATGAAAAAATAAAGAAAAATATTGTTTTGGTAGTTAGTAACTTTCCTCTTTGGCTACACATTCATTAAAAGACAGTAGTCATATGAAATGTAGTCTTGGTCAATGCAAGTCTTGGTCTTGGTCATGTCAATACTTTTCTTGACGACATAATCGACAAACTCTGAAGCAAATAACTCTAATACATTAGAGGCCGGTAATTAAATATTAGAATATATGAAAAGTTTTCAGGATGTTGCTGCTGTTTTAATTTGGACTGCCTCTTGTATTATATGGCATAATATCAATGTGGAAGAGCGACGTTTCGATACGTTAGCACTTTGCATGGATCTGTCCCCACAGCTTCTTCCGTTTGTTTTTTTTTATTCTTATAGATTCTAGATTTTATAAAATCTTTCAATCCCATAATTTATTCAGTGTATAGAGTTTAATATTATGCAAATAATACGCTATATATAGTATCTTTCCTTCTAAAATGATATGTTCTAATCACTTTATATCTTTATTTGGGTCTGTTTCAGAATATTGAGCAGAGGAATTGCTAAATGATAAATCAAACCTTAATAACTAAGGTCAGGGTGACTGTAGACGCGGAGATCTTTGAACTCTGAGATCAATGAAATAGTTTTTTAAGATTTCTGTGTGAATTAGCAGTGGATGTAAGTGAACAGTGTAATGATACATTAGCAAAATCGGCGTCTTGGCTATTGTGTTCGTTGATGCGTGGTGCACCACATCTTCTACGTAATGTATTGAAAGAGATCGGATTATTAGATATGAACGATAAGCGTCAGTTTTTTTTTTTCATAAAGCATGTGTTTTGTAGTATACTGTTATACATAGAAGTTGCGATACAAATCTTTTGACCAAAAATTTTAATGGAACAGCTGGAATATAATGTGTTTGAATCATCGAATAAGTGAAGTATATTCGAAATATTTTTTTAGTAGAAGAGAAAAAGCTACTCTCTGAGTACTCTTAATTGTAAATGAACAGAAGGTGTACTGTTCTGAACTGGAGGAGTACGGTTAAGGTTTATATCTATGTATAAAGAATATATTTGACGCAATGGGATTTCATGTAAGGAGAGTTTGTCGCTGTTATCAGACTTTTTAGTTGCTATGTATTGTAAAAGTTGCTATGTAAATTATAGCGAAAAGGGAAGGTGTCACTCATAATGCATTTACCGTTGTGCAACGAATGTGCCAGTCAAGGACAAGCATATTACAGCTTCATTCATTCGGTCTTCTACAACACTGGGTTGAATTGATTATTACTTATTGCGAAGGTTAATTTCTTTCTTTGAAGAGTCGATGTGTTTAGTTTTTTTGGAATGACTGGTAAATTTAACTATTTATTACTGGATTCTTTGCAGTTACACATTGTTAAGAGAGATCTTTTGCAAATTTTGAATCATTAAGTGTGAATTGGAGCTGAGAATTATTAGCATAGAAGGCCTAAGATTTAGAGGAAGTGAAGGGAGCAGTCATTTTTAATAGTTTAATTAGTAAATATGAAATTTCAGAAACAAACATGGAACACATCTCACTGCTAGTTAGTATAGTTCGATGCTTGGCATCGCTATGTTGCATCGAGGATGTTGTCAAATTCCTGGATTTCGTGGGTGGCTCGAGTCTTTTTAACTCTCTTATAAAATGTGTCGTTCGATGTGCAATTTCGCGTAAAGATATGACTCGTTCATTTGGTAAACAAAGCATCAAATTAGAAGACGTCACTGTCAGTTTGCTTTCACAGTATGTTTTTCCCGGGATTTTATGAAGAATTAATTGAGTTTTAGTAATTTGAAAAAATGCGAATTAGAACTGAGAATTATTAGTATATGAGATTTAGAGATTAAAAGAAATAAATGTCGTGGTTATTATAAATATAAATGCAATGACTTGAAATTTATGAATTCTTGGCTGTGTAACTTGCAGATTCTCAAACTCTTGAAGCTATGTCATTTTCAGAATTAAAAAACGTTTCAGATGTCTCGCTGTTGGTGGCTCACATCGTCAACGCATAGCTTACGTTTTATGTTCTTTGTTAAAAAACGCCGGTAGTTTCAATGGTGCAATTCAACAAATGGTACTAAAATGTATTTTCGACGATGAGATGATTCCTGTAAAAGCAGTCGATGAAGACACTTCAATTTGTTTCCTGTCGTTTGATATTCCAAGTTTCTTTCACAACTTTTTCATTTTTTCTGTTTATAAAGGGACTGAATGATAAAAAGTAAAGGCTGGTTTTCTTTTTGAAGTGATATGGAAAATTTGTTCCTGTTACAGATCGTATTTTACATCCATTCTTTGGCTGTACACGAAGGGAACGTTTCTTAAAAGTATCTTTATATACTTCCATGGACGAGATTTCTGCTCTCTGTGAACATAAAAATACAAGCGACTTCCGACAGTTAGCAAAAATTGCTGTAAGTATTATGCTTTTCTTGAATTCATTTATCCACACAATCGGCAAAGGGCGAATTCTTATATTCATGATATAGAAATAAAGTTAACACAAATTTATGCGCAGCTCTGAATAAGTTGAAGAAAACGATCAACGAATGTATCATTTGCATTGAAATCCTTTACACCTCCTTCAGTGTTAATCCCTGTCACTTCAAAAAGTCTTATTTATGGAGCGTAATAAAGAATCGTTCTAGATTTACTGCGTAATTAATTAATCCACCACTTAACATAAACAGCTTTTTTTTACCACGTTAAATAAATGCTCCCATAGAGAATTGATATGAAAAGTTTTCAGGCGCCTATGGATGAATCGCAACACTACTCATCTACTGTTAATAGGCAAGGTGTGATTTTTGAGGAATTTGATAGATTATTCGGCGTCCATTATGTATCAAATGAAAATACGAGATTTTCAAAAAAAAAATCAAATGAAAATACGAGATTTTCCATTCAGACCTGACGACAGCTTTTCCTTCTTTCACTTCTTCTGGTCTAACGGTTCGAAGTTGTAACGGTTTAGCCGAAATGATGGGTGAATGGAAGATTGGACAATTGGTGGGAGATTTATTTGCTTCCGGACGTTTAACTTCTTCGGCCTGGTAGGTTCTTACTTTAATATGATTTTTAGTTTTCTACTACAAATTCGCGGTAAACAAATGGTACTTATTTTCATTTAAATTCTTAATGCGGTTTAATATATACATTCACTTCAATTGGTTGAGTGTTAAATTTCAATAGTGTATGGAAATAAGAGTTAGTAGTAATAATAATTCTCCTATAGTGGAGCATCTAGTAAATGTTCAGATATGACGGATTATGTAAATGTCGATACGATCATACTTTGCAACACGTAGAATTAGCGAGCTTAGAAAAAAGTGGATTTGTTGATCTGTACATTTGTTTCTTTGCTTTTCAATATTTCTCTTTCAGTTTCTATTTTCTAAACCATATATTTTGCAGGAAGCAAAAAATAACCGGTGGAGATATAGCAAAAATAGCAGTTGAAGATAGTGCTGATGGCTATTACACCGTTGCTCTTTCGTTTGTTCAGCGTTCAGGTTTGTTTTCAGCTGTTTTTTGGTTGAAACGATAAATGAATTCAGTCCGTCGTCATCCTGATTAACGGGTGGATTAAAATGAACGAAGTAAATGATGAGTAATGTTTGTTAGCTACTTAAGAAGGATTAATACTTAGATGTACTGGAAGTGTAGCTGCTTCACCGAGAACAAAGCACTACACTTATTCTCCAATTTGATCTGATGTTCTGAATATAATTTCAAGCATAATTTATCAGACATCTGATTAATGTTTATCGTATAATTATTCTTATACTTCTCTTGGAATTGAAGAATTATCGACTAACGCACTAATGTAGTTACGACTACATGTTTTTGATGGGATTGCACGTTAGATGTATCCTGCATCTGTGTTATTGGTTTTGATTTGTGGTTTTTTTTTGATAAGAAATGGTCAATCATATCATTCACTTGTTAAGGATTAACATGTCGTTTGAATGAATGATGGATTTAGCAGTTGTTCCAGGTTTGACCGGAGGTGCTAGTGCCATGCCATGTCAAAAGCCAGATATAACGCTTACGGAACAGACATCAACCTTGCAGTATTTTGCGCGTTCAAGTGGTCTCGCACTTTTAGCGCTGCATTTGCAAGTGCATCATCCATCATTTAGTGTTCCTACCGTCACCCCTTCCTTCAGGTTTTGTGCTTTTTTTTCGTTGAAGATTGAAGTTTATCGCAGGAATATTTGTCCCTTAAAATGAGTTATAATACTTTTTTTTAAGGACAGGAAATATCTTTTAGATAGGCGATAAACTTATGTGTTGACCGTTTTGTTGGTACTTGTTCTTTGTTAATTAAAACTTTCAAAACTCTTTTTTAAATGACCTTTCTTGAATGAAAACA